TGAGATCTGCTGGAGTGTCTCTCCACAGGTATCTGCAGGGTATTCTGTTATCTGATAGTTCTCCAGAGAGGTCCTTTTTATGGGCTTTTCTATTACTGTTTTGCTGCTGATAATGTGATGCTTAACACGCTGTGACAACAAATCTGATTTGTATGTCCCAGAAGCAAATAACTACCTGGCTTATTTTGATATAAACATACATTTCAGGGCTGAAAATTGCTTTGTTTATTTTATGGGCCAAACATCAGTTGAGGTCTGTATTGCTTTCTCTCCTCACTGGATAGATGGAAGTGAGGTATTGGGTTTCCATCAATTGAAAATCTGCTCCTTTTCATAAGCTGAGTTTCTTCTTACCTCCTTTTTCCTTGGGCTGTGCACCACTGGAGCCAGCTCAGCTGTGTGCTGGTCTCATCCTTCTCTGTTAACAACCACATCACTGAGAAAAGGCTACAGACTCTGGTGATGACACTCTAGGTATCAGTGACATTTCACCAGGGAGGGCATTGCTGAGAAGGCAAATTGATTTAATGATGTTGTTACTAGAGTGGCACTGCTACCTCTTCCCCAGGATGAGACTTCATCACTCTCAAAGTGGGTCTGAGATGGTCAACAACCTAAAAATACTGGGAGTTCAGGAATAACAGGAAGCCATGGCAGCAGGAGATCTAGCTGGGTGGATGCTACAGGGACTTTCCTTTTTTTCAAATGCAGCAGGATGCCTGGTGCTCGAGAGAGAGTGATTGACACAGTGGCTGGGGCGGGCGGGCTGCCCCTGCCGTGAGGTGCAGTTGGACTCTGCAGGAGAGCCTCTTGACTGGCACAAGGGGAAGAGGTGCAAAGCTACGTGCTCATTACGTGTAAAACCCCCTGTTGTCCTAGGAAAGGTGGTGTATCTGCAGAAGGTGGGGAGCTCTTAATGCCACATCAGCCCTGCATGTCTCACCTCTGCTGCCCATGTGTAGCCCCTGGGCAGTGGCAGGGCCAGCAGTGATTTACTGCTCACCTCCTTTCACCTCTCTTTTTCAAAAACCAGTAAACCCAACCTCCTCCCTGCAGTGGACATGCAGACACTGTTACTACAGGTAAGCAAACCTCTACCACCCAGGGGTGTCTTCGGGGGGTTCACTGCCAGTGGGGCTGGCACAGCCTGCACTGTCCAGCCGTGCCACACTGCTCTTTGTGTCCCACTTGGCCATGCTGGCCCATGCTACAGCCATGGGGATGTGCTGGGGTGCAGCAGGCTGCAGCAGCTCCTTGCTTTTGGTGGGCAGCAGCCCCATGGGTGACACAAGGGGTACAGAAGCCTGGTGCCCTAGCTGGGTGGCAGGAAAAAGATAGTGGTTTTTCTTCCCAAGGGATGAAGCACTAAGAGAGGGCAGCTGGAAAGACTGCACCCTGACAGCTAAAAACTCTCTGCTGTAAGGAAATGGTGGGCAGGGCTAAGTACTGCTGTTCCCTGCATCCCTGTGGTGCACAACTGGACACTGTGTTTTCCAGGCATTCCGGGCTGGGGAGCATCTCATTGCCAGCACTGGCAAAGGAAAGAGGAATATTGAGACCTGTGTTCTTAGTGAGGAAAACAATATATTTTAAAATGTTGCTATAAGGCCCAGTCCTCTGCTCCTCGACAAACAGATCAGATGGAGCAAGGCAAATGATCAGGCACTTGATGGCTGCAAAACACACCAAGTCATAGAGAAAAGGGCAAACAGGCTCCATCTGAGAAACCCTGCAACACCAGACAGCACTGGCTATTAATTTGAAAAGAAATATATAAGTGGGGGTGAATCATTGGTCTTTCCTGGATGACAAATCCAAAAACCACTTCAAAATCCCTGGGTGGAAGACAAAGACCAGCACAACTGCAGCCCAGTGACCTGGTTTTATCTGGACTCATAGAGATCAGGTCACACAGAAAATGATAAGGATTTTGCCACTAGGACTTGGAGCTGGGTGAAGAGGAAAACTGGGTCTCAACAGTGCAGATGTCTGCAAAGCCAGTGAAGTGGGTCTGCTGTGAGTGATGCCCTGGGAAGGGCTGTTTGGCCTTCTGGCTTGACAGGTTTAGAGGTGAAATCTGGATTTTAAGCTACTTCTACTCACAGAGAGCTTTTCTATTGAAAACATTTTGATGGATCTTGGTTTAGGCTTCAATGACATTTTTCGGATTGAATTTTTGGCCTAACAGAAGGGGAAATGTTCCTCCAGAAGGAGATGACACTGTAGTTTTAAAAACAAATTATGTATGAGAGCTAATTAACTTGGCATTTACAGCTTAGTATTCTAGATAAATTTGCTCCAACTGAGACCACATCTTGTTGCAAGGAAGCTTCTGCTAAGCATCTCTTTCCTTCTGCTGCTTCACATGCTGTGTCACAAGCCACCTTCTCATGTCCTGTTCTGTGCCTTCCAATTAAGTAATGAGTAAAGCGGAGATCCCAGGTACAGTTTAGCTGTGAGGGCTGAGACATCTCTCAGTGGGGCTTCTTACAGGTCCTGGTCAATGTTTTAATAGCTAGGAAGAGTCTCGTGGGACAGGCTCCTAGAGGAGCTTGCTACAGAGTGATGATTTAACCAGCACAGTTGCTGTTGTTCCTGCCCACTGTAGAGAGGAGCTCTGAAAAGGCCGTACTAATGAGGGGAAGGAGACTATGCAGGTGAGGAATTTATCTCCTCTGACACCAAGACCTTGACAAATAGTTTGCTCTCTGAGCATGCTGTGGTTATGGTAAGCAGGCCTGGGGGGATGGACATCCTGGGTGCATGGGCAGGATGGGACAGGCAAAAAATCTCTTGTCCTTGCTGCTGCAAGCCCCCCAGGTGTGGTGCACAGGACTTGCTCATCAGCAAATTGACCCACCACAGGAGATCCAAAATCCTGTTTGCTTGTGCTGTGCATGTGCTTCAGGGCTACGTGGCACAACAGGGCAGTGCTTGCTCCATGCAGCAGGGAGGCAGAGCTGAAGATAGAAAACCTAAGCTTGATTTGACAAGGTGTGGTGACTTTACGTTGACATTATTTGGGTGTTATTTAACTCTCACCAAAGTCCTCCCTCTCCTCCCAAGATCAATTTCCACCCCCAGGGAATATCAGGATGGTGCGATACTGGGAATTCATCCATTATCTAGGTAGTTATTGTAAAGAAGGGAAGATGGGTCCATCTGCACCTATCCAAAGAGAAACTGAGCACAGAGACAGCTGAAAAAAATCAGCTTGGGCAAAGAACTAACACAATAAATCATCATAGTCTGTATGAAGGGGGAGTTAACAGGATGCTCTCATGTGAAAATTGTATTAGAGGCTGCTGATGGCGATGAGCCCATGAGTTGCTCTCCCCGCAGTTCTGCTCTCTGCCATCCCAAATTGAGTTAAGGTCATACAGATGCACCTCTTATTGCTTTAGGAGAAAAATAGGGCTTATTTTTTCCTGAGGCTCACAAGTAACTAATGCAATACAGGCCAGGCACAGCAAAGGTAAAGCCCCATCCTCAGCAGTGGGAAGTGCCGCAGGCACCGTGAGATCGGGGAGGTGTCCCCAGGGCTCAGCTTTGGGAGGGGAAGTCTCAGGACTCTGCTTGACAGGATGAAGGGATAAATGCACCAACCATATGACTGTTTTGCGGGAGGGCTGGAGGCCTCCACAGTCACATGCTTATGTGCAAACAGAAACCTTGAACTTCTTTCACTCTTTTAGATGTTATTCTCTTAATTTTTAAGCTTGAATTGACACATCTTTGACAAATAAGGTCAGTTATTCACTTCCCCCACAGTTCCCACAACACCAAACTATAAACATAAGTGGTGGTGGTGGGCAAACAAACAAAGGAACCCAAATGCACAAAACTGAAGCAAAACATTCAGTTGTTGTAAAGACCAGAAACGGTAATCAGGGCTCCAGTAGATTAAACATGATACAAAAAGAATGGACTCAGTGTCCAGCTTTTGAGGATGGTGAATTAAAACTAAGGGCAACTTAGGCAGAATGGCAAGAGGAAGGATATGAAGTTTTACTGGAAATAACTGTGTGCTAAAACAATACATAAGAGACTGGAATTAATAATTAACTCTACGAGTGGCTCTCCTGCATGGAATATGCTGCTTACCTGAAAGCCCATCACAGTTGCATTTAGGTGGGTGTAGAAGAAGCCTCCCACGGAGCATTGCTCAGGGTGGACCACTTCTAGGTAAGTCCCACTCTTTAGGAAGAAAAGCATGGCTATGTATTTAGTAGAATCACCTGCATCTCACCTCTCCAGAGACCATGGCTGCTTGGCACCACTGAACTGTAGGCTGGCCCAAATGGCTTTCAAAAAATGCCACCCTGTTCTGTTTTAAAAAGGCTCCAATTTTAAATATTTTTCTGTGTTACTTTTGGCCCTTGAGCTGAGGGAAGTGGGTGATCTCGTCAGGAAGAAGACAACCAGAAGCACATCTCAGAAGCACATGATGTACTGGGCTCTCTGGAGACTGGTAATAATGCCTGATTAATTTTCATTATCAGTGTGAGCAATCTTTGAGCTCTCTCTGCATCTGTCTTATTTAGAGTTGTCTTTTCTTAGTTAAATGGCAGCTTCTACAGACAGTGATCCAATTGTTCCTCAGCACCTGCTGCTTGAAGCTGTCCAAGTGGTGGACATTGTGCAATTTGCAGGACATGTGATTTTAAGGCTCAGATCAAATAAAATGGAATGGCAGATTAGCCAGTAATTGAATGGAGTGGAAGGTTATGTGCAGGTTGATGCTGGAGGTCACATAAATGATTGGGCTGGACAACACTGAATAATGGACAAATCAAAATATGCAGGCTGTGGTCACCAAGAGGCAGGATGAACAGCTGTTCGGCAGATACCCTGAGCTCATCACACAACCACCATTTTCTGCCTACCAGTGCAACGAGCTTTTGCAGTAGATGTTATACCAAGTCCTTGCAGTGCTGTAAAGCTCAGACACTGCAGCCAGGGCACAAGTTCACTTGCTGCTGGTGGGGAAAATGCCTGGGATGGGTTCTGTGCTGTCACCTACGAGCCTCTCAGCACCCTCTGATGTGGGGCAGGAGCATCTCACGCTGAGCCCTGTGAGGGTGAACCTGGCTCCCCAGTCAGGCAACGTGGGCCTTTCGAGTCCCACACGGAGGTGCAAGGTGAGGGGTGCTCAGAGGACTGCTGTGGCAGGAAGGGTGCACAGGGTCCTGCTCACTGACACAGCCATGATCCCCTCCTATGGACACTCATGCTCCAGGACACCACAGATGGTGTCAGCCTGCTGCTCACACCTCAGAAAAATCTGTCTTTGGTGTAGCCATGGTTGTTCCAGGATGGAGCAGTTGCCAGCCCCCAGGGTTGTTTGTGTGTGGAAAAGGGTTCAGCTGCAAGTTTCTCTCAGCTGGGCAGCCTTACCTTAAAAAAGGAAAAAGAATACGATCCTCCAACTCACCGTAGCACTGCACTGGATTGACAGGCATGAAGATTTAGCTCACTTTCCTCCACTGCCACCCAGCTTCAATGCCCTGTACTCATCCTTATGATCCACATTTCTCCTCTACGTGGCCAGAAGCATCCAAAAACTTCTGCCTGGAGAGCTGCTGGCTTGACCGATCTGTATTTGGCCCTCGTGAAGGCCTTGCTCTTGGGGCACTCCCAGGAGGTTGACGGCTTTTGGAGGATGGGCAGGATGAGGCTTGCACCCCACAAAAGCAGATCTTCCTCTCCACAATAATTAGTCTGAGCAACTTCTTGCCTTCTACTACATGAAGTCAGGAGTTACGGGCTGTTTATATTTTAATTCACTTCAGCATACATGGAGATTCAGGCACACTGTACACAGTACCAATGAAAACAAGTATAGTCCCTGGAGCAAAAACAAAAGTCATTCTGATTACATTACAGCGCAGCAGAGCACAGTGTAAAATGGGAAACCACACTCAGCATCCTCCCAGGGCCTGGGTGCTGCTGAGCTTAATGCTCTCTGCTCTGACAATCATAACATCGCTCTTTCAAATAGACCATTTTCCTTTGTAAAACACTCTTTGTTAATTGAAGGAAGAGGTGTTGTCTGGGGTGGAAAGTTGCAGCCTGGGTGTGATGAGGCAGCCGGGGGAAGCTGGCAGGGAGCTGCTTTGCAGGCTGTTGCCATGGGAACAGAGCAAGTAGGGCATCGCCAGCCATGTCTTCTGCACAAACTCTGGTGAAGCAGTGGCATAAAATTGATGCAGCTGAGCAGCACTAGGAGAGCCAGCCATTAGGTTGTCTCTAGTAGGGATTTAATCTGAATGAAATGTAAAGGCCAGAGACTCCCGTTGTGTGGAAGTGGTGTCACTCCTGATCTGAATGGAACAAGACTTTATGCCAACTGAATGAGCATCTAGGCACAGACATCAGAGCAAAAGGACTGACTAAAAACACCCGGTGGAACCATAGTTTCTTCTAAGAACTATCTGAAATAATGCCATGTTAGAAAGCAGTTACTGAGGGCCTTGTTTACTTAAATGACTCCACTCAATCTTCACTGTTTATGCACATTTTAGCAGCCTATGAATCTGACGTCCATAATGATGAATGGCTAAAGACAAAGGGTTGAGCCTGGTGTGTGTGTCACCATGGTGAACGAGCTAAGAACACAAGATACTGCCATAGTGCCAATATTTGTGATCATCTGAAGTATCTGATTCCCTTTGCACAATGCTGTCTTTGTGCACAACTCACCTCCTCTGTGCAGGTCTACCTATGTGTAATTATTAGATCTTCCTTGATGTTTATAAGAAATATCCTGTCTGATACTGTGGTGGCTAGGGATAAGCAATGATTAAGACTGATTTCATGGATAAGGAACATGGAGATTTTTGCTCTTGCATTTAAAAGGGACGATGTATTTTAAAAAAAATTTAAAAAATTGTTAACATTACACTGCAGAGACCAGTGAAAGTAGAATGAAACACAATAGGTAAGCCAAGGTCTGAGAAAGGTTGAAAATGCTAACTGAAAAATGTCAAAATAGCAAAACTCAATTCATTGCATCCAAGCTTTCATATTGTCTTCCTCAGGTTTGCTGATAAAGAGCTCCTAATTAGAGCAGGCATCTGCAGTGTAACTGCACTGCTGCCACTGGCCCAGGCCAGCAAGATGCTGAGTATGTGCTCCTCATTTCCTATCAGCACCAAAGTGTGAATGAGGGGCTCACATCCATCCAGGGCTTGCTTGGTGTGTGCTTTGGAAAAGTGACCAAAATAGCAGGCAAGGGAAGAAAATGGAGCCAACACATGGAGGGGTTCCTGGTTGACTTGTTGATGTTATGGATTTAAGCCCCTCTGCTTAGCAACAAGTTTGAGAAAATGAATGATTAACTGCCAAAACCCCTCTAGTTTTATCATAACCATAGTCTTGCAAGGCCTTTAACAGAGCTCTCACTGGCTATGGTGTTTCCGTGCAGGTTGCAACAAAGATTGGAATGAAATGGCTGGCTCTGGGTAGAGAGCATGCTCTGGATCCATAATGACTTGACTTTTAGGGCTAATCCCTTTGAACAGAGAATAAGGTAAATGGATTCACTAGAGTAAACCCAGTAATCCCAATGGATCACTCTCTATGGGGAAGAAACTGTGTGCCCTCCTTGAGAATAGCTGCCTCCATATAAACATGTCTCCGGCAAAATCTCCTCTAGGGAGAAGAGAGAGTACAATACAAAGTGTGTGGAGCAGCAGTAACCTTGTCTCTCCTACAGGCAAAACATGCAGGGTACCCAAGGTCCTGCTGGGTCAGGCCTAGCAGAGGTTGTTAATGACTTTTAGATTAAATAAACACAGAAGCTGTTCTTCATGCTGCAAGGGATAAACTCAGAGTTGTAGACTTAAATATCATGGTTAACCAGTCAAAGCCACCTTCTCATCTCCATGCTGCTGCTCCTTGCATTTGCAGCACGTCTCCTTTGCTGAAGGAAGGGACACACACCAGGAGCTGCATTGATAAGGGCACGCCACAGGTCACTAATTGCCAGCAGATGCAGCACCCTGCGTGCTCTTCACGCCTGCCATGCGGGGAGGCAGCGGGGACTCGCAGCGCGCGAGGTGCCGGCTGACCTTGCCCTTACACAGAGGGACCTTGAACTCACAAAGCCCGCAGAGAAGGCAAGAGCAGACTCACTGAGGCAGAAAGATAAAATAGATGCAAAGCTTTTTCAGCACTTCCCTCCATTTGCTTCCTATCATAAATATCAATAACAAAACAGAAATGCAGAGGTGACCACTTTGTCTAGCTTGCCCTTTCCATACGCATATATTTCTGTTGTGAAAGCCTTTATGTAACTTCTAACAGCAGATTGTAAAACAATGCCTGGGTTATGGAAGGAAGCCACAAGCCATTATTCTGCATTACTGGAATGTAATTGGTCTTTGGGATGAACTATATTTGGAAAGATTGCTTTTATTGTAAACCTTGCACCCCATCTGTCTCCTCAGCATTGATTTGTCTTTGTATGCTCCAGAGACCAAAGACTGGGAGGCCAGAATATCAGTTAGACCTGAACGGAGCCACTGGGGTTTTGGTCCAAAACAAAAACTCAAGAGACAAAACTGCTGTTTATTTTAGGGAAGGCAGTACCAGTGACAAAATGTAACCAAATGGATGCTGATGCCTGATCTGCTGAAAGGTGAGTTTGTCATTAGCCTAGAGCAATTGACATTGTAATGAATTGCTTCCCACACTTCCTTGCTGAGTAAAGGCTGCTGTAATAACAAGTGCTGCGACCGTTTTGATTTTTTAACTGAACATGAGGAATAGACAAAAGAGAATCTGAATTTATTTTTATTTATTTTTTGTTTTTCTGTGCAAATGTCACATCACTTTCATGTTGGCAATGACTGCAGAAATGCTGAATCAATTGCTTATTTACATAATCCCTTCAGATTTTTCTTTTCTGTCATTGTTGATAATGGAAAGATTTTCTGAGCTGAGAAAAAGAAGGCAAGTTCTGAATGTGAATAGGCTGAACTGACATAAAAATGTGGTGATTTGCATCAGTAAGAAATAATCATAATGCAGATGATTAAAATTATGGTAAATACTGTCTACCCTACCTGCCCTGAGGAACATCTAGCCCATGACAGTGAATGTCTATTCAGCTGCAGAGTGTGAAACAACTCTACACAAATTGTTTGACACAGAAGAGTCCAACATTATTACCAGTTAATCCATAATGTTATTTTACAGGGAAGAGGTTATAAAGTGCTGTTATTCACGTGTGAATCAGTGCAACACAGTAAAGAGCAGCAGGGACACGGCTTAGTGCACTGTTGGCTAGAGGGATGATGTGACTTTAGGAAAGCTCCTGTGGCAGGAAAAGTAGAAGCTCACTATGCACTTACAGTGCCTGGAAACGCCCCTGGAGTGGTTTCCCCCCCAGCATCTAGGGATGCACCACCTGTGCTGCATCCTTAGTTGCAGTCTTGCCTTTTGCTCCAAAAGCTCTGCTCAGGCTGTGCTCCAATGGCCCCGCAGGGCTTGCTGCACCCCACAGATTACCCCTCTGTGGGATGGGACCAGGATTTTGCCCTCCTCAGAGCCTCAGAAGCAGAGCTTTTGAATAATCAAAGGGACTGCCAGCAGCTCTGGGGGAAGGGGACGACTAGTTGCATGAATCTTGGTGATGGAGACAAATATGACAGAAGATACAAAGCTCACTTCTAATTCAACACAGTGCACTGATAGCAAAGCACAAGATTTAGTTTAGAGAGGCCAGGGCATAGTTTCAACTCTCATTGCAAACACTGTTATTAAAGCACATTCTATGTTATTTTTAAAATGCAAATGTGATGTGAGAATGCAGCTCCATTAACTTGAAGAGAGCTGGCCTGGTAAGGGCTGTGAGAGCAGTGCAGGAAGCAGCCTGCACACCACTGGGGCTTGGACTCCACAGATCAACCTTTGAGAGCTGCCTCGATGACAAGACACATCCTCAGCCCTTCTGGAAGATTAGGTAGCTGAAGAGCAGATATGGTCAGGGTAACAATTTAGTTAATTTTTTTCTTAAAATCACATTTTCATAAATTTTTAAACTTTTTTTTTTTTTTTTAACCTGTAGTTCAATAACATTGCTTCTCATACTGGTATGCTGGCCAATAAATTTTACAAAAAACCAAACCAAACCAAACCAACAACAACAAAACAAACAAAAAACAACAAAAAAAAATTCTAAATGTTAAGCAAAAAACTTCCAGTACTTTTCCTTAATGATTCATCCAGCAGTTTTGCTTACTAAATCACTGCTTACAGTTTTCTAGGGGAAGAATCGACGAATCTTCTAGAAGTGACCTTTACCTCTTGCAGCACCAAGAGCTTATGGCTTACAAGATCTTACAAGATCCTTTTGTGTTTTTTCCCAGCCCCCTCGGATTTAAGGAAGGTCCAAGACTGGGCTTGACGGTCCCAAAGCCGTTCCAGCCACCTGACAAAAGGTGCATTTTACACCCATGTATTAGAACCCTTCAAGTGTGTTGGGAAATTGATCTCTCAGACTATTATAATTTTTTTTCTACACTGAGCTGTTCCAGATGCAGTGACACCTCTGGAACGGCACATTATTTACTTCAGTTCCAAGCTCAACCCACGTTTTTCTAAAGATTCAGCATGTTTTTCAACTCAGCAGTCACTTCACCCACCGCAGACCGTGCGAGGGGGCGGCGAGGAAGACACGGAGCCACCTTCACGCTTCAGAGCACTTCCATTGCAGATACAATCCTGGAACAGACAAACTGTTGGGCTGAAACCTGGTGTCTGCTCGTGGCAACCCCGCTGGCAGGTGTCCCTGAATGTTGAACAGAGGTGCTGTGTGTTTCCATAGTGACTCTGGGCCCCTCAGCGAGGGGCACTGTCGGTGTCACACGACTCACCGCGTGCAATAGCACAACTGAGAAGCACGGAGCATCTGAAGGGTTGTTTTAGCTCCCACGAAGTCACAGCCCCTTGCTGGGGGCCGGGGAAGGACGGAGGGAACGGCGACGCTTTGGGCGACGGGCGGCGCCGGTTTGGCGCTGAGAACGGGTGTCAGGGGGACACGAGGTGTAAAAAAGAGGGATAAAGGAGCAGAGCGTGTGACAGGAGGCCCAGCGGCCTCCCAGCCCGGCTCGGGCCTCGGCTCCAGCCCCAGCAGCACCGCGGGGGTCCCTGC